TCCAGGGCCCATCAGAGGCAGAAAAACCTCCCGCCGCGGTCTCTTCACGACTCGAACGGGTCTTGCCCCCCAGCCAGAGTGCCCTCTTTCGGATGCAACTCTTGCGAGGTCAAATTTTGATTTTCCCCTAGTCCGAAATAAGCCGGCCTGAGCCGGCCTATTCCCGCTTCATCCTCCTTGATCTGGCTCGATCCCGCTAGCTCCGCGGCCGAGTCTGGCGTAGCAGCCCCCAATCGTGGGGCTGAACTCCTCCCCAATCGCTCCGACGAGAACCTCCCAGCGGTTACCTCCCAACTTTCTCCCAGAAGGTCACCACCCGCCAAGCCACCCCCAACCCAACCCGAGGGCCTCAATTCGCCCTCCATATCCAGTGGGGGGGGGGTCGGGGAACATCGACAAAAACACATGCGGAGCCCAATGCCCCCACCAACCCGAAATTCGGGTCTTCGGGCTGGGTTGGGGTGGTCTGGTAGGTCCCCCTCCCCCTCCTTCTCTCTCCTCCTCCTCCTTCCTCCTCCTCCTCCTCCTCCTCCTCCTCCTCCTCCTCCTCCTCCTCCTCCTCCTCCCTCCTCCTCCTCCTCCTCCTCCTCCTCCTCTCCTCCTCCTCCTCCTCCTCCCTCCCTCCTCCTCCTCCTCCTCCTCCTTCTCCTCCTCTCCTAGTCAGAAGGCGCCCCCCCCGCCGCCGCGCTGTGCGCGGGCGCCCGCGCGGCCGCCGCGAGCGCGCCCCGCGGCCCGCGGGCGGCGGCTCGCGGGCCGCGCTGGCCGCGCTGGCCGCGCTGGCGCTGCTGCGGGGCTGGCGCGCCCCGGCGCCGGGCTGGCTCCCGGGGGCTGCCAGCGCAGGGCCCCCGTCCCCTGACCTTCCAGAGTGCTAAAAATAGCACTCCAGACCTATAGTTCTATCTCGACTGCCTCAGCCCTCGACAGGAATCAGGACGTCGACGTCCTGGTGCTATTTTTTGGCCCCCCTGGAAGGTCAGGGTCGACTCCCTATTTTTTTCGGGGGCGGACAGAACCCCCAACAGTGACACGTCGATTAGTGATTTGTCCGTTTTCGGTTCTCGAGAGGGCGCCGTGGCCGCTATTTTCCAGGCTTGCGCCCGCGGGGTTTGGGCCTCAGTCAGGTCGTTTTCACTAAACCACGTTTTACTAAAGGGGGGTCTGTCCATCCCCGACTCAGGGCCCCCGTCGACTCCAATTTTTTTCACAAAGCATCTTCTCGCAACCACACAAGGTTAGTGTATCCTCTGGCTCCAGGGGGCTGTCGACTAGGCGTAAGAGTGGCCTTTCGCCGGAGTGACCTTTGGTGCGGGCGCACATGGGCCCCCAGATGGTCGAAAGAGAAGCGGCAGCAGCGGCCTGCGCGCTTGCTTTTGGCCCCCCCGCGGCCCCCAAGAGCCGCGCACCAGAGGGCACTCTTACCCAGGGTCGCTCTTGCGAGTAGCCGAGGCTGCCAGCGCAGGGCCCCCGTCGACTCCCAATTTTTCTTGTTGTACAAAGCATCTGCTCGCAACCGCACAAGGTTAGTGCATCCTCTGGTCTGCAGTCGCGGGATTGCAGGCGCAAGCGTACAGAGAGGCCAAGGCACATCACGCGCAGGGTCTGCATCCACATGCCGTCCCGTGGACAGTGCTGTCGGAATATGCTTTAGAAAGGCGCATGCGCTTCGGAAGCACACATATGAAATTGCGGGCCGTAAGGCGGGGCCCACTCCCTGTCGGCTCCCCAGGCCCCCCTCGCGTCGTGGAAAGATCGCGACGGGAGGTGTTCTTCCCTATGTTCGGCCTCATGGGGGCCCCTCCCGGGCCTCGGGGCCGTCGAAGAAAGACTCGGGATGGAAAAACGGGTCCCCGGGGAGGGGTCCAGGCTCTTGGGGGGAGGGGTCCAGGCTCTTGGGGGAGGGATCCGGCTCGAAGGAGAGAAAACGCGCCAAACAAACATAGTCTGGAGGGAACAAAAGCACACAGACACAATTAATCCTCGATTCCCCAGAAAATATGGGAAAATATGGGAAGTGGGGGGGAAGACAGAAACCCATAAAATATGGGAACACATGGGGAGTATTTTTATTTGTGTGTATTTATTTGTGTGTCCTGGGGCCCCTTCAATGGTTCTCTGGTGCTCCACGCGGATCTCTCGGGTCCGCGCTGGGCCCCCCCCCCCCCGGCGGCGCCTCTGGCGCCGCTCCCGGCGCGCCGCTCCGCGCGCCAGGGAGGGGAGTCCAGCGCGCGCCCAGGAGGGGAGCCCAGCGCGGGTCCGAGAAGTCTGCACGGAGCGCCACAAGTTTTCGCTCATGCCTTGTGTTCTTCTTCTGATCGCAGGGTCCACGTCGATTCCTCCTGTTCGATTCGATTCGAGTTCGGTCGGTGGCCTCCGATTCCGATTCCGATTCGATTCGGGACTCCGATCTGGGTTGCGGTTTTATTATTTGGCGGCCTCGATACCCTGGCGAATTCTGTCGATTCGACTCCTCCCGACTTGGCTGCCGATTTCCGCCGATCCGGTTCATTCTGATCGCCGATCCGATTTTTCGATTCGATTATGAATTTTCCTGCATCGGGAGCCTTGAGACTCTGAGGGGGAAAAGGTACCCATACCGATACCCCTCCCCCGTTTTCCCCGTGTTACGCATCCTGGGAGGCCCTCGTCGCCACGGCTGGATTCGCCTCGAAATTCTATTCAGAGTCAGAGCGCATTCCGGGAGAGGGCCGTGGAGTTGAGAAGGATGCAAGCGCAGGCTCTGCGCGGATTCGACGCAGAATCGACGTGGGTTCGACGAGGATTCGACATGGATTCGACCCTCAATTTGGAGCCGACGCGGACAAGAAGGGGCGCGACGTAGGAGAGGCAGGGCCCCCCGAGAGGCGTCTCGGAGGCTCAAGGGCCCCTTGAGGATCAGGGGGCCACACGCGAACCTGCCCCTACCTCCCACGACTTCTGAGGGGGAGGTTGGGGTTCGCTTCGCTCGGGAGCGCCCCGAACGAGGTGAACTCTACCCCCCCCTCAGAAGTCGTGGGGGGGGGTAGGGTTAAGTCGGGCCTGTCCCCCTACAGGGGGATTTTCGACGACAAAAAATATGTCCCCAAAATAATCCAAAAATAGTCAGGGGACTATTTTTGGACTATGTTTTGACCTTATTGGTGTATTTTTCTGTTTCTGTCGAAAATGCCTCTGTATGGGGACACGCCCGACATAATGTTAGGGGTAGGGTTCGCATGTGGCCACCCTAAGGATGTAGAACAAGACCAAGGGGGAGCATGGGAGGCGGAGGAGGAGGGCCGGAGGGCAGCCGGGGCGGCGCGCGAGGGGGGCCATCGGGCTGTCAGGGACGGGGGTGAATTGCTGTGAGCCTGCTTTCCACCACCGCCACCGCAAGTTGGAGGGGGAGAGGAGGTGGAGGAGGAGGAGGAGGAGGAGGAGGAGGAGGAGGAGGAGGAGATGGAGGAGGAGGAGGAGGAGGAGGAGGAGGAGGAGGAGGAGGAGGACGAGGAGGAGGAAAAGGAGAAGGAGGAGGAGGAGGAGGAGGAGGGGAAGAAAAAGGAGGAGGAGGAGGAGGACCCCCTGCCCCTCCTACTTCTGGTGGTGGTGGTGGAAAACAGGCCCACCATGAGTGCAAACGGAAGAGAGCCAGAGCGCTGGATCTTACAGGATCCTGCAGAGCCAGGGGTGCTCTGACTCGGGCTGCAGCGCGCAGGATGCGGCCAGGTCCTCCGGGACTCTGCAGGATCCTGTCAAGCCTGACTGACCCGGGTTTGCATTAACCCGGGTCAGTGCGTCCCCGAAGGGGATGCCAGGCTCTAGGCCTCCCAGATGGGGCCCGGACAGACGGGTCGGCGGCGGAATCCGAACCCTGCACTCGCCGATCAACGATTCAGGCAATTAACTAGATGGGCGGCGGGGGTAGGGTTCGGAATTCGTCTGTGGGGTAGGGTTCGGATGTCGCCACCTACTGGGGTCGGATGCTCGCGCCGCATCGCCGATGCATCGGCGATGCGGCGCAACGTGGAGCCCGACATGTTCCACGCCGACGGATCCGATGCATCGCCCACGTCGCCGACGCACCGGGGATGCATCGGCGATGCATCGGCGGTGCGGCGCGATCTTCCGACCTCATCTATTCGGACTCCCAGAGGACGTGAGAGCGGCACTTGGCATCGACCCCAGATGTTGTTCTTCTAGAAGCAGGCAGAATTGTCCCTCCAAGAACGTGCCCCAGATCCCGTGACCTTCCAGAGTGCAAAAAAAAAACATTCCAGACCTGTAGATCTATCTGGGCTGCCTCAAACCTCGGCAGGAATTAGGACGCTGACGTCCTGGTGATATTTTTTAGCCCTCCTGGAAGGTCAGGGTATGACGCACCCTGGAGAGGCGGCCTCTCAGGGCCCTTCTCGGGGCACCCGGAGGCTGGCCCCCACGCTGGCTGCTGGCAAGTCCTGGCCGCTGCGGCACCGTACAAGGGGCGTGGTGGGGACAGCAAGCGGCCACAGCCAAGCCGAGGACATACCCGAGGGGTATTTCGTGCGCATGCCAAAGACATCGAAGAAGAGTCCACGCCGTAAACTTGAACTGTTGGCGCTCCGCGCGGATTGCTGGGGTCCGCGCTGGGGACCCCCGGCGGCGCCTCTGGCGACGCCCCTGGCTGGCGCGCTCCGCGCGCCAGGGTCGGGGATCCAACGCAAGTCCAGGAGATCCGCGCGGAGCGCCAAACGAATTTAGGTTCACGCCTTTTTTTGGTCCTACGTAATCGAGGACATACCTTGGGGATGTTCTAGCGCATGCCAGGAAATGCCAGAACACCGAAGCCAGCTTCGCATTGGGGGTGGTCGATGTGGCGCCCCAGGACGGCCAGATCGACCACAACCACAACCAGAGTGCCCATGTCCAGGTCAGCGGGTTCTCCCCCAAAGGGGCCCTCCCGCAAGATTCACGTCCTTGTGGTTATGGTTTTGTGTTGTGCCCGGACGTGCGTCGTCCCCAGGGTCCTGCTTTTGGGCCTCCCCAAGGCTCGCGGGCGCGCCGGCGCGCCGGCGGGCGCCGGCGGCAGCGCGCTTCGGCGCCGGGGGAGGGGGCGATGGGTCGGGGGCAGCGATGGTCGGAGGAGGAGGAGGAGAGGGAGGAGGAGGAGGAGGAGGAGGAGGAGGAGGAGGAGGAGGAGGAGGAGGAGGAGGAGGAAGAGATACCGATGCCTCTCGTCCTCTCGTCCCTCTCCTCCCTCGATGGGCCTCGGGCTGGCTCAGCATGCGAGGGGGCGGCCCTTCTCCCCCAACTTCCCCTCCTCCGGCAGGGGTCCTGTCCCGCACAGACCAGGGCGGCGGGCTCGTTGCCAGGGTGCGGCGCTGCGACCACGAGGGGACGCCCGATGGCGCTGCGAGAGAGTGATGCCGATGCTGCTGCCCTTCGGCACGAACGAAATGAGTACGGAAAGAACGGGTACAATGCCCAACAGCATCTCTTGTTCATTTTGAACAGGACTCGCTGTCCTCGCCGCCGCAGCCTGTGTCAATTCGAGACAGAAGGCCGCCTGCCCAACAGCGGCCGTTGTTGTTTTGGGACAACATTTGTTGGTGGGCATTGTACAATTTCTGTCCGTACCCAGCTCGGGCGTCCAAAGCCCGCGCTTCATCGCCACGGCTGGATTCGCCTCGCAGTCCTGGTTTGGACGCGCCCCAGGGAGGCCCAGAGAGCTGCGTGCAGCAGCGTCGTGCAGCTGCGTGCAGAGCTGTATCGCAGGACGGAGCATTTGCATAAAGCGAGAAAACAAAACGCCCCCCCCACCCCACCCCACGGTGGCGCCTCCGGCGCCGCCCCTGGCGCGTTCTGCGCACCAAGGAGGGGGGGGACCAGCGCAGATCCGAAAAATCCTCGCGGAGCGCCAAACGCTTATTCCCAACATTCCTGCGTTGGGTATTCGTTTTGCATAAAGCATTGCGTTTTCCACCTTCTCCCACCCGCCTCCTTTCTCTTTCATCAGTCCTGCACGCTTTCCACCCTATCCCCGACCTCGCCATCCTTGGGGGCCGCGATTTGCGAAAGTGTCGTTATTTGGGAAGGTTGCTGTGGGGTGCAGAGGAGCGGCGTCTTACGCGGACTCAAACTAGACCTCGCCATCCCCCGGGGGGTGCGATTTGCGAAACTGCCGCCACATTCGAGCGCTGTTGGGAGGTCCAGCGGAGTGTCGTCTGACGTGGACTCAAACTAGCCTTGGGGGGCTGCGATCAGCGAAACTGTCGCCACTTTCGAGGGCTGGTGCGGGGTCCAGCGTAGGGGTCGTCCCACGCGAACTCAAACTAGACCTCGCCATCCCTGGGGAGCTGCGATCAGCGAAACTGTCGTTACGTTCAAGGACTGCTGGGGGTCCAGCAGAGTGGGGTCCCACGCGGGGTAAAGTTAAACTTCGCCATCCGTGGGAGGGTGCGATTTGCGAAACTGCCGCCACGTTGGAGGGTTGCTGGGGGTCCAACGGAATGGGGTCCCACGCGGATAAAAAAATTGACTTCGCCACCGTTGGGTGGCTGCGATCTGCGAAACTGTTGCCACTTTCGGGGGGTTCCAGCGGAACGCTGTTTTTCCCAACCCTCCTGAGTTGGGTTTTCGTTTTGAATAGAGTAGCTTCGGTCGCGACTCCTCTTCTCTCCTCTTCTCCCCTGCTTCTTACCTCGTTCGCTGCTGCGTGCCAGCTTGCTTCTGCGATCTGCGAGATTGTCGCTACTCTCGAGTGCTGCTGGGGGGCCCAGCGGAGTGGGGTCATACGCAGATTCAGATTTGACCTCGCCATTCCTGGGGGGTTGCGATCTGGGAAATTGTCGCCACTTTCAAGGGCTGCTGGGGGGCCCAGCGGAGTGAGGTCATACGCAGATTCAAATTCGACCTCGTCGTCCCTGGGGGGGAGGCTGCGATTTGTGAAAGTACCACCACTTTCGAGGGCTGCTTGGGGGCCCAGCGGAGTGGGATCATACGCGGATTCAGATTAGACCTCGCCGTCCCTGGGGGGCTGCGACCTGCGAAAGTGTCACCACTTTCGAGGGCTGCTGGGGGGCCCAACGGATTGGGGTCATACGCAGATTCGGATTTCACCTCGCCATCCCTGGGGGGGCTGCGACCTGCGAAACGGTCACCACTTTCGAGGGGTCCTGGGGGGTTCAGCGGAGTGGGGTCATACGCAGATTCAGACTTCACCTCGCCATCCCTGGGGGGTTGCGACCTGCGAATCTGTCGTCACTTTTGAGGGGCGCTGCGGGGCCCAGCGGAGTGGGGTCATACGCAGATTCGGATTCGACCTCGCCGTCCCTGGGGGGGCTGTGACCTGCGCACGTGCCCCCGTATTCGAGGGTTGCTGGGGGGCCCATGCTGAACTCCTGGCGCCCACGGCCTGCCAGGGCCGCAGCATGCACCGCGGTGTCATCATCGACGGCGGGTGCAAGGATGAGGAGAAAATGGGCGACCTCGGGTTGCATCTCCCTGTGATGGTTTCCAGGACAACGACCGTGGACAACCTGCTGATGATACGCGACCCTGGACGGGATTTCCTCACCCGCGGGCCGCCCGCGGACTTAGCGGCGCGCGTTCGTGCGTTTAGCCCGCGCATTGAAAAGCGCAGGCGGGAGGCAGAGAAACTGGCGGGCGAGCTAGGACTCGCTCGCTTCCTGCAGTAGCTAAAAGCAGGTTCAACCATTTTTTTCCGGGCGCCGCGTCGACATGGCAGCGTTGTGCTTTCAACGGGCCGCCAACAAAAGACACCGTTCCTTCGTTTGCCTTCGCTTTTGTCCGTGTCTTTGTTCTCCTGCCGCCTCCCTCTGCTCTTGCTGCGCGGGCGGTTCGGCCCCCTGCGCGTCCTTCTTTCGCTCTTCGCTCCCACGCCCCGTGTCCTTCTGGAGCCTGTGGCTCTCGCATATCGCTCTTGCGCGGTTGTCCTGCACCTCGCGCCACGCGCGCGTGTCCCACGTAGCTTTCATGACGTACAACGGTGCCTGCACTTTGATTGCCCCACACAAATGTTAACACATTCGTCTTGTCCGTTGAAACACATGGGTTGGGTACGTCGCAGGGTAATTTCTTTGGAATCAGACTCGGCCATGCCATCCCTGTGGGGCTGCGGTTTGCGAAAGTATCGCCACTTTCGACGGCTGGTGGGGGGTCCAGCGGGGCGACGTCCCACGCGGACTCAATCTAGACCTCGCCATCTTTGGGTGGTTGCGATTTGCGAAACTGCCGCCACATCCGAGCGCTGTTGGGAGGTCCAGCGGAGCGTCGTCTTACGCGGGTTCAAGCTAGACCTCGCCATCGCTGGGGGGGGTGGCTGCGATCAGCGAAACTGTCGCTACGTTCGAGGGCTGCCGCGGGGCCCAGCGTGGCGAAATCCTACGCGGATTCAAATTTGACCTCGTCATTCCTGGGCGGTTGCGATCTGCGATGGCGTCGCCACTTTCGAGGGTTGTTGGGTGGTCCAGCGGAGCGATGTCCTACGCAGGCTCAATCTAGACTTCGCAATTTTGGGGCGGTTGTGATTTGCGGAACCGTCGCCACTTTGGAGGGCTGCTGGGGGGTGCAGTGGGGTGACGTATTACGCGGACTCGCGCTCGAATTCGCCATCCCCGGGGGGGTGCAATTTGCGAAGCTGTCGCCGTTTTCGACGGTTTGTGCGGGGTCCAGCGGACTGTCGTCTTACGCGGATTCGAACTAAACCTCGCCATTTCTGGGGGGGGTGCGATCCGCGAACTGGACCCCCCACCGGCCGTCGAACGTTTCGACGGCTGGTGGGGGGTCCAGCGGGGTGTCGTTTACGCGGATTCAAACTCGAGCTCGCCAATTTTGGGGGGCTGCGATCTATGAAAATAGTGTCACGTTTGAGGTTCGTTGCGGGTCCAGCGGAGCAACGTCCTACGCGGAGTCAAATGCGATCTGCGGATTTGTCGCCGCGTTCGGAGACCGCTGGGGGCCCCAGCGGGGTGACATCTTACGCACAATCAAACTAGACCCCGCCATCCCTGAGGGGTTGCGATCAGTGAAACTGTCGCCATCTTCGAGGGCTGCTAGGGGTCCAGCGGAAGGACGGTTTCCCCAGACGCCAACTAAATTTCGCCTGCCTTGGGAGGCGGCCGTCCACGAAATTGTCGCCATTTTCGAAGGGCTGTTGGTGGGGGTCCAGCGGAGAAGTGTGTTGCCCGGGTTCACATTACCGCACAGGGCTTCTCTAGTACAAGTATGTCGGGCATTAAATTTGAATTAATGCCGATCACAGTGCACAATTCGTTTCGACATTAACAAATGTAACGGCTCAGCTTTGCTTGTACAGAGCCCAAATCAGGACCGACAGTACCAGGACCGACAGAGTACCAAGATCAGGATGAAACCTCGGTTTCCCAGAACGCTGAGAAGTGAAAAGCTGTGGCCACTGACGTTGGCCTGTGGGGGGTTAGCGTAGCGCTTCCCTACCCATACCAGAATGAGTCCTCACCCTCCCTGGGGGTTTGCAAACTGCGAAATTTCCTCCCATTTCCATGGGCTCCTGGGAAGCCCAGCGGAGTGACGTCGAACCAAGATCATACTGAGACCTCGCCGTCCCGGGGGCTGCGAATTGCGGTGTTGTCCCCAATTTGGTGGGTTCTCGGGAGGCCCTGCGTAGTGCGGTCCTGCCCAGATGAGATGGAGACCCCGACACCCTTCGGGGCTGCAAGTTCCAAACAGTCTTTACGTTTGTGGGCTCCTGAGGGTGTCCAGTCCTGCCCAGATCAGAAAGAGACCTCGCCGTCCCAAGGGGCTGCGGATTGCAAACTTGTCGCCAGTTTCTGTGGCTCATGGGTGGTCCAACGAAGCGGCGGATCAGACTGAGACCTCGCCGTCCCTGGCGGCTGCGCACAGCCTATCTCTCGCCACTCTTGCAGGCTCCTGGGAGGTCCACCAGCGTGGTGTTGCGTGGAGATCAGGATGAGACCTCGCCGTCCCCCTGGGGCTGTGAATTGCAAGACTGTCCCCTCTGTCGTGGGCTCCTCCCTCGGGGGCCCCCAGATCAGGAGCAGACCTCGCCGGGCCTGGGGCCTGCGAGCTGCCACAGAGCAGCCGCCACCGTCGTGGGGCCTCCTGGGGGCCCCAGCGCGGCGCGCGTCGTACCCAGAAACGAAACGTCGCCGCCCCCGGGAGCTGCTGCGAGCTGCGAGGCTGTCGCCGTCTGCGGCGCCGCGCCGCCGCCCGTGCTGTCGGCGGCGGCCGCCGCCGACGACGACGGCCGACGACGACGACCACGGCGACGACGCCGGCGATGGTCGACGGCCGACGGCCGGCGCCGTCGACGGCGGTGGCGTCGGCGAGGGTCGGCGGCGGCGGCGGGCGGCCGGCGCAGAGGCCTGGGCGACGAGGCGAGCGATGCGGAGGCGGCGGAGGAGCAGGCAGTGCCGCCCTGGAGGAGGGCAAAGTCGGCCTGCTCTTCTATCTGCGTCACCCCAACATACAGTGGGGGCGCGCATCAAGAAACCATATGCCTTTCGTCAGGGTATCCTGGGTTTCTTCGCTCCTCGCGCTGCGCGGTGACTTCCCGCAGCCGTTGAAAGAGCTGCTGCGATCAGGGTGCTCCAGGTTTCCCCTCAGGCGCACCTCGCGCGCGGGTTCCCAGGGTTGAGTTTCTTGCGAGGGTTTCTTGCGGCCGCGCCCGCACTGTACTTATACTATGTGTGCGTCGCCCCCCCGGGGGCGATGCGCGCACCGAGAAATCGTATGGGATCTGCTTCGTGGCGAGCGCTTTCTGGCTACGCCGCTCGGGAAACGATATACTACAAGATGGGCATACTATATGTTTGGGTCGGACGCGCGCCTCCAAAGAGAACATATAGTACTAGTACGTCTTTTTGCGTGCCATTCTACCGAAGGAATGACAGCGGCATGCACAGAAACATTTGGCGCTCCGCGCGCAGGGTCCTTGGATCTGCGCCGGGACCTCCTGGCGGCGCTTCCGGCGTCGCCCCTGGCGCGCGGAGCGCGCCAGGGAGGGGGGTCCACCTCCAAGAAGTCCGCGCGGACGTTTATGCAGCGCTATGTTCTTCGATTCTAGAAGACCAATATCTCGGGCCTATGCCAAATACGGCTCTCATTTTCTAGCCACCGGCGTCTATAGACGCATTGGGTGTCGTTGGGTATATAGGCTCATCTGGGGCGTCTGTAGATAGCGCGGCAGTTGCGTTAGGTGCAGCACGAGTTCGGAGAGAGGGCAGATCCGTCTACGGTACGGTCCTCTTCTGGAGCAGGTCCCACATGGTATTCCAAGTGCCGTCCACGATGCGATGCGGTGCGATTCGATGTGGCGCCTGCTCAGACCTCAATCGTTTCGAAGAACGATACTCAGGAGGGGAAGAAACACACAGACACAATTAATCGTCGATCCCCCAGGAAATATGGGAAAATATGGGAATTGGGCGGGAAGACACAAACCCAGAAAATATGGGAAAATATGGGGAATCCTTTTATGTGTGTCAATTTACTTGTGTGTCCTGGGGCCCCTTCAGATACGCGAGCTTCTCGTAGTGGTCTGCCTCCGCGGGGCCTTCCCCTGCGCCCCGGGATCGTCGAAGACCGCTCGGGATGCGAGACCAGCCCCCGGGGAAAGGATCGGAACCTCTGGGGACTGCGTCCCTGACCTTCCAGGAGGGCTAAAAAGCAGCTCCAGGACGTCGACGTCCTGATTCCTGTCGAGGTTTGAGGCAGTCCAGATAGATCTATAGGTCTGGGATGCTATTTCTTAGCGCTCTGGAGGGTCAGAATGCTCCCCCCGCCGTCCCCGTCAAGTACCACTGCGTCTTGGTCGCGGGGCGCCCGCGCCTGCTCCAACTTTGCAGGCAGAGTGCACGATGCATTGCTTCTCATCGGGGATGTTGGGGGGGAGGCCCTCACTGGTCCGATCGGCTGTCGGTCGCCTGGGGGCGGCGGTGTTTCTCATCAGGGGACGGTGGTAAAACCCTCCCCGACCCTGACCTTCCAGAGCGCTAAAAATTAGCATCCCAGACCTATAGATCTATCTGGACTGCCTCAAACCTCGACAGGAATTGGGACGTCGACGTCCTGGTGCCTTGGCATCGCTCGGACGTGTGCATTTTTCCTTCGGCGAGGACCATCGAGGAGCATCCTTGATCATTTGGCGAAAAAACCACGCACGAACCCGAAAAAAACACAGGGAATGGACGTCCGAGCGATGGCGAGGTGCTACTTTTAAGCCATCCTCGAAGGCCAGGGGAAGGGGAGGGGCCGCTGTCCGATGTTTTATGGTCGTCGCGGCGCACCGGCATCGGCCCTTGGCCGGCCGGAGCCGGGCGCGGCGGTCCTTCCGGCGGGGTCCCGCACCGCGGGAAAAACGACGCGAAGATCGGGACAAAATCGGATCGGGATAACTCGAAATCTCTGAGAATCGGCGGGTTTGGAGGATGCATTGGGCGCCGCGGCCGCTCCAGAGCGTTCCGGAACGCTCTGAGAGCGCTCCGGAACGCTCTGGAGCGATTTATCCCGATCCTAGCCCTGTCCGGCGGGGTCCCGCACCGCGGGGGCGCCAATCCACAAAACGACGCGAAGATCGGACAAAATCGGATCGGGATAACTCGAAATCTCTGAGAATCGGCGGGTTTGGAGGATGCATTGGGCGCCGCGGCCGCTGCAGAGCGTTCCGGAACGCTCTGAGAGCGCTCCGGAACGCTCTGGAGCGATTTATCCCGATCTTAGCCCTGTTTTTGTCCTTCTGGCGGTGTCCCGCACCGCGGGGGCGCCAATCCACCGGAACCTTGGCGCGCCCAAGAAGTTTGCAGCCGTCGGTCGAACCAGGATCTGGTTTTCCAAGCGGAAGTGTCGGGGGCAACATGCGAACCCTACCTACCCCCAACGGTTTCTGAGGGGTAGGGTGGGGTTCACTTCGCTCGGGAGCTCCCGAAGGAAGTGAACCCCACCCTCACCCTCAGAAATCTCTGGGGGTAGGGGTAGGGTTCGCATGTGGCCCCCTAACCAGGATCCGGTTTTCGCTATCTCCAAGCGGAAGTTCCAATGTCCTAGTTAGCAATGTCCCGATTGTCGAGGAGGAGAAGCGGCATCAGCATGAGGTGTTGGACCCCCCTCCCCGGCGCGCGGAGCGCGCCAGGAGTGGCGCCGGAGGCGCTGCCAGGGGGGCCCCAGGTCTCTGGCGGCCTACGCCCTGCGAATATCACGACGTCGGACCCTGCAGGCCCGGGCGTCTTGCCAGGCCCAGCCGGAGGAGGCGAAGAGTGGATGATGCTTCGGCCCTCGGCCGCAGCTCTCTTGGGTGCGCCCGCGTCTCGATGTGGGGCCCCCGTGCCCTGACCTTCCAGAGTGTCAAAAGCACTCCACACCTATGAACCTAGCTGGACTGTCTCCAACCTCGACGGGCATTTTGACGTCGGCGTCCTGGTGCTACCGTGATTCGCCCTCCTGGGAGGTTCGGGTGTGCGGCCCTGAGGCCCCGTCTCGTCCTCCTCTCGCCGTGTGCGTCGGGACCCGTGCCCGTGCTCGGTGGCCACAGGCGAACCCTGCCCCACCCACCCCGCGATGTGTGAGGGGGAGAAATGGAGTTCACTAGGGGAACAAAAAGTTGCATAAACATAAAAACTCGGAGGCCCGCGCGGATTTCTCGGATCGGCGCTGGAACCCCCTCCCTGGCGCGCGGAGCGCGCCAGGGGCGGCGCCGGAGGCGCCGCCGGGGGGCCCCAGCGCCGATCCGAGAAATCCGCGCGGACCTCCGAGTTTTTATGTTTATGTCACTTTTTGTTCCCCTATTCACTTCGCTCGGGAGCCCCTAGCGAAAAGAGCCCCCACCCCCTCGCAGAGATCGGCAGGGGGGGCGGGGGCAGGGCCCGCCCGTGGGGGCCCCCGTGTGGGGGCCCCTGCCGTCCGACGCAGCGGCAAGATTGCCGGGACCCCCGCACATCGATCCGGCTCGGAGAACGACTCAGAAACAGGGGGTCAGAGCCCCGAATCATCAGGGGTAACACGGGTCAGGGCTAACTCGGGTTCGTTTTTCGGGATTCCGAACCCGATTTACCACAGACCCGAGTTACCCCGGATAGTTCGGGCGCCCGAGGGAGGCTACAGTCAAAAACCCGAATAAGGGCGCGCGACTCTGCTCAGGGTGCCCTGGCGTCCTTGCTTTTCCTTGCTCTTGCGTCCTTGAGGTTTTCGTCGTCTGCGCCCCAAGAAACCCAACTTCGGCTGCCAAGGGTCCTGCGTCCGTACCGCGCGTCCTGATTCGTGCTTTTGACTGCATGGCTCTTGTCGTGCGTCTTGCCGTGCTGCATCTGCTGTCGCTGCGACGGAGCTCGGGGCCTCCGCGGGGCCCTCCTCTGCCCATCTCCTCGGGCCGGGCGAAAGGGGGGGATTGGGAAAGGGGGGGTACGAAATTTGCTGCATGCAGCTGGTTTCGACCTCATTGAGGGGCCCATTCCTCGATGCATGGCCGCCTCCGGCGCCGGGAGGCGCCGGGAAAATCGGCTACGTGAGCTGATTCTCCCCCCCCCTTTCCCTGACCTTCCAGGAGGGCTAAAAAATAGCACCAGGACGTCGACGTCCTAATTCTTGTCGAGGTTTGAGGCAGTCCAGATAGATGTATAGGTCTGGAGTGTTATTTTTTAGCACTCTGGAAGGTCAGGGTTGCTATTCCCCCCCTTTCGCCCGACCCGATCCTCTGGCCCCATGGGCCGCCTCCTCTGCCCCGCGGTGGCCTCTCGTGCCGCCCCTCTCTCCCGCGGCCGCCCCGAGGCCCCGGCGGGCGCGCGGAGGCCGTTGGGGGAGCTGAAGGTGGGCGAGACGCTGGAGGGGAAGGTTGCCGGCAGGTTGTCAGGAGGGGGAAAGTCGGGCCGGGCGAAAGGGGGGGATTGGGAAAGGGGGGGTTACGAAATTTGCTGCATGCAGCTGGTTTCGGCCTCACCCAGGGGCCCATTCCTCGATACATAGCCGCCTCTGGCGCCGGGAGGCGCCAGGAAAATAAGCTACGTGAGCTGATTCTCAACCCCCCCCTTTGCTATCCCCCCCTTTCGCCCGACCCGACACAAGCAATCGTCGATCCCCACGAAAATATAACAGGGGAATATGGAAATTGGGCGGGAAGACAAAAAACGAGAGAAGATTGGACAATATGAGGAACCTGTTTATTAGTGTGTGTATTTATTTGTGTCCCAGGGCCCTTCAAGGTTGTCGGGGAAGGAGAAGAGGCCCACACCGCTGCCCATGCCTCGTTCTCGCTTCCTCGGGGGCCGCCGGGGAGTTCGCGCCTCGCGGTGCGGCTCCGAGTCCTCCCCGTCCTCCTCTTCTCCCCTGGGAGGCGGCGCGAGAGCGCGGAGCTATTTGCACTCCGCGCTTCGCGCAGCGCGAGAGCGCGAAGTTGGGAGCCCTTGGAGGAGGTGCCCACACCGCTGCCCATGCCTCGTTCTCGCTTGTTCGGGGGCCGCATTTTTTATGTTTCGTCCAAAATCTCCCTGTAGGGGGACAGGCCCGACTTAAGGGTATAGGGGGTATAGGTATTTGGTTTCCCCAGGTCTCAGAAGGGCGTTCTTATCGATGTCGGTTGTGCGAGGAATGCGTATGTGTTCGCAAGCAGAAAAGCTGCCCTGGACAATCTCAAGCCCAGACAGATCGTGAGTGCGACGGTCGAGAGGGTCGAGAAGGATGGGGCACTCTGGGTGTCCGTTGAAGGACTGCCCAAGGCAAAGAGGTTGACGCGCGAGCTGGAAGCAGGCGAGGCGCTAGAGGCCCGGGTGTCTTTCAAGAGCAAGAGCGGTGTCTTTCTTGACGTCGGTTGTGAGAGAGAGGTAGTTGTCGCACGCCAATATACAAATGGCCTGCGGCCCATCCCGTCACCGTGCCTGGGTTGTGTCGGGGGCGGAAAAGAGGGGGGTGATGACTAGGGGGGGGTGGATATCATGGCGGGAGCCATGATATTTCCCCAGATTTCATGGCGCCCCTTCTCATTTCATTACGTCCCTGGCCCCCCCGCTGGGCCGCGCACATGCTGCCGGTCATGATTTGCACCCCCCCCTCTTGGACACCCCCCTCTTGGCCGCCCCCGATTGTGGGCCATACTCTAGGATGTTCGTTGGGATGTTCGTTGGGATGTTGCGGGGCCGTTTTGGGGGCTTTGCTGAGGCCTCTTCAGGGCCGTGCTGGAGCCTCTTGGGGCGTCTTGGGGGCTGTTTTGGAAGTCTCTTGGAGCCTCTTGAGGGTTCTGTTGGCCCTCTCGGGGCCTCCTGGGGGCCTCTTGGGACGGAAGACTCGGATTGTCGGTTCGTGATCCCCTTCTTGGGGCTGTCTTTGGGCCCTTTTGGGCTGTCTTGGGCGTCTCTGTGGCCGTCTTGGAGCCCTCTTAGGCAGTGTTGGTGCCCTCATGGGGGCCTCCTGGCGCAGTCTTAGGGGCCTCTTGGGCCGTCGTGGAGCGTCGGAAGCTCGAAAAGCCCAGGACCTCAAACATATCGAAAACCGCTGGACAATTACTGATTTTGGCCTCTCGGGGCCCTCTTGGGAAGGCTCTTGGGGCTCTCTCGGGTCGCCTCGGAGGCTTCTAGGGCCGTCGTGGGTCCATCTTGGGCGTCCTGGGCCGATTGTGCAGCGATGCGGAGCCCTCTTGGACCGTCTGGGCGGCCTCTTGGGGCCTTCTTGGGCCCGAACAAGTCGTGCGGGAACATGTCGCGCCCCAGAGGGCAAGCGAGAAGCCCTGGCAGATGACAGAATTTGGGGTCCAGGTCCCTGAAAGAATCTCCAGGATTGAGGGTTGAGGCTTAAGGGATTAGGCCGAAGACCTGAGGACGCTCAAACTCGTACCTCAAGGGCACGTGGCGGATCAGGTTTATGAGCGCCGCCTCGAGATCGGTCAGACTGTCAGCGCGATTGTCGAGAAGGTGGGCAACACGCCAGTGGTTTCTCTCGAAGGTTTGCCCAAGCTGAAGTTGCTCGAGGATTTAGTAGAGGGCGAGACGGTCGACGGCGTTGTGGCCAGAAAGACGGGCGCTGGCGTTATCTTCGACATCGGCTGCGAGTCGTTCGGGCTCCTCAGGCGAGATAAACAGCGTGACGTGTTCAAGCTTGAGCCCAACGAGAGTGTGAAGGGCTTGAGGATCGACAGAATAGACATCAACAAGTCCAGGATCGACGTTTCTCTGGCTGGCCTGTCTGACCTCGTGGCTGGCCGGCCGGAGATCGAGCGCGACGTGGACAAGAAGGACACGCCTGCTGCCCCGACGAAAGCGAAGCCGAAGAAGGAGACCGCTGAGCCCGAGAAGGCCACGGAGGGGAGGGGCAACGTTAGGGTTATGGTGTTCCAACCTACTTTAGCTTGGATCGCTAGAATGAATTTCGAGCAACAAGAAAACACCCTCAAACTCGAGGTTTTTAGCGTGTCGGGCCTTGGGAGACACTCTTTCGACACAGTTTCGACACTTTTCTGGGTGCTCGAAATTATTTCTGGGATGTGGTCCCTGAGTAGGATGGGAACAAGATAACGTTAGGGGGGGATGTGCTCGAGGGGACACCTCGACCCCCCGATCGCCCGTGGACCACCGAGAAGCTGCCCCGCAGCCCGCCCTCTGCACGGGAGCGTGCGGACCCGCCAGCTGCCGGGGCCCGCCAGCGATCTGCCGGCGACGCGTCGCCGATTCCAGCTCGACGCTCTCCCCCCCCCCCTTCGGATTCAACTCCTGGGAGGTCAAATCCAGCTTAATCCGGCCTAATCCCGCTGAATCTGGCTCAATCCCGCCTAATCCCGCTCAATCTGGTTTCACCCCGCTGGATCCGAGGCCCACTCCGGCGCAGTGGCCCCCCCAATGGGGCCACATCCTCCTGAATCCTTCCTCCTGAATCCTTCCGACGAAAACCTCCCAGTAGTTGCCTCCTAGCCCTCCCGAGCCAGTCCCGCCCCCGGTCGTCCCCCCTCAACGGAGGAGGCGGGCGCGGCCAAGAAGAAGAATAATATGAACAAGGAGGAGGCGACGCAGGGGGCCACCCAGAGCGTAGTCTTGGACGGCGCGGATCTCCTCCCGAGCATGAAGGCTCCTCTCTTTCATCCTTCTCCTCGTGCTCCTTCAGCCTTCTCCATGGTTTCTGCGCCTCCTCCTCCTCCTCCCCCTCCTCCTCCTCCCCCTCCTCCTCCCCCTCCTCCTCCTCCTCCTCCTCCTCCTCCTGCAGCCTCCCTATGTCCAGAACTCGCAGTCTGCACACTCTAGGAGCCATGGAGACCTGTTTGACACAGCCGCGGCAGAGCTTGGCTCGAGTTCTCAAGGAGAGACCGCCGCCGCCTCCCTCTCCTCCTCCCTCCCCCTTCCGGAGACCTTTCTGGAAGCTGCTTGGTACCAGCTCTGCACGAACGAAATGGGTACGGAAAGGTTGGTACAATGCCCAACAGCCTTTCCTGTTCATTTGGAACAGGACTCGCTGTCCACGCCGCCGCGGCCTGTGTCCATTCGAGACAGAAGGCCGCCTGCCCAACAGCGGCCGCTGTTGGTTTGGGACAGCATTTGTTGTTGGGCATTGTACCCATTCTTTCCGTACCCACCAAACAGCAGGAACACAAGCACAATGCAACGCCCGAGAACTTTTGCAAGCTCCCTCAGATCCCCAACAGTGAAACAACACGACTATGCTCTCCTCTCCCCGAGTGGCGTCCGGGAAGTCGCCGGCCACCCATCCGCGTATGGGTTTCTTACGCGCAGGATTCCCCGGAAACGGGTTTTCACTAGGGTTTTGTTTCGAAATATTGCTCTCGCTTCAGTTCCGAATCGTGCTCCCTCTACAGCGCTGGACTCACTTCCGCGCTTCCGCTCGTTGCGAATCGTACTCCCGCTGCAGCGTTGGCGCCATTATTTCCAGTGCCATGCCACGGCATGGTTTTTGATCCTTCCAAAGAGGCCCCGACACCTAGAACATGCACAGAAAAAAAAACATCGGAAGTGATTGCACATTCGGTGTCGATTTGTTGATTTCCTGTGCCGCAGAAGCCCCCATGGGGCGTCGCCACGCCATGCTATGTCAGGCCACGCGTCCTGATTTCCGCGCAACCGCGCTCGTTTTTTTATCGCTGAAGTGCTGGCCTCATTTTCGGGCTTCCGCTTGGTCCGAATCGTGCTCCCGCTGCAGCGGTGGCATCATTTCCGCACTTCCGCTCGTTCCGAATCGTGCTCCCGCTGCAGCGTTGGCGTCATCTTTTTCCAGTGCCATGCCACGGCATGGTTTTCGGTCCTTCCAAAAGGGCCCCAAATCCAAAAAATGCCTCCCCGAAGCAGCCGTCGGAGGTGATTCCACATTCGGTGTCGATGCTTCGATTTGTTGGGCCCTCGTTTTGGGGCGTCGCCACCACGCCATGCTATGTCATGCTACGCGCTAATCCTTAACACCATGCTATGCCATGTAATGCTATGCCATGCTAAGACATCCGATTGTGCAAATAGGGAGGCGATCCGCGCCATGGTAAGGGATGGGAGGGATGGGTAGGACGTCAGATATGGCACGAGCGCACCTAGCTTGATTCCCCCCCCCTCCTCCGCCACACCCCCTTTCTCGTCCGCCGCTTTCCACCTGTAGAGTCACTGTGCGATTCCAACATGCGACGGATCATTCACTTTCTCGATCGAGGGCCAGTTGAGACAACGCCCGGCCCAAATCCGTTGAAAATTGATCCCGGGGCCCGTCCTGACTCGTTGTCGGCGGCGCGCCGAGGGGGGCAGGGGGACGGGGTAGGGCTTCTCAGACGGCAGGGTAGTCCTCAGAAGTCCGCCGAGAGCTTCTAGGCGGGCTTCGAAACAGCACCCTGCCTTCTAAGAAACCCTCCCCCGCCCCCTCCTGACCTTTCAGAGTGTTAGAACATGGCACCCTGGACCTACAGACCGATCTGGACTGCGTCAACCCCGAAAGGAATTTGGACGTCGACATCCTGGCTGTACTTGTTCAGACCTCCTGACAATGGAAGCGGTAAAACAACGGCAACTGGAAACGGCGAAAACGGATCCAGAATTGGAACCACTACAAGAACCGGCATACAAAGGCGACGGAACCGAAACAAGGGAACCGGAACCAACACACGAACGGATACACGGAATTGGGAAGTAAAGCCCACGATTGAGACACCCAGAAATAATTGCGGTGAGTTCTGCTAAGTTGTGCTAAGATGAACTATGTATATGATCTAAGTTAAACTAATAACAATGAGAAAAACCTGATACACTCGCACAACTAAGGAACGTAAGTTCAGTGACCCTGGCGCGCTGGACGTATTTCGCCGAAATCAGGGGGGAATGTGGGAGGCTATTCGCAGCCATTTCTGTATGTTTGTGCACTCGGTTTCGATGGCATCGGACTCGGGCGGGCGTAGCTCTAAAGCGCGCGGCGCTGAAAAAAGGGAGCGCGGGGATGCAGGTGGAGGGGTCCGCGAGGCCCCCCCTTGGCCCCCGCCCGCGGATTGCAGCGCATGCGCTCCCCCTTTGCCCCCCCTCTCTGGACCCCTCGGCTACTCTTGGGTCCCGGCGCGGCGCGCTTATGCCGTTACCTTAGAGTAGGGGTGGAAACCCTAGCGCGGCGCGCTTTGGAAGTGGAGGTCGAGGTTATCGTTTTGTTGTTTTCTTTAGTTTTTTGCGACGGGGCCAACCGCTTTCGCTACAAGAGAAGCGCCCAATCTCGCGCCCCCACCAAGCGCCATACAAGCGTCGGCTGGGGGGGTGCTGCTCCCAAATTAATGCTCAACAGGAGCCCAGCCGTCGTCGTCGCTGGCGTCCTCTTCATCTTCACTCGTCGTCGTCGTCGTCGTCATCGTCGTCGGCTCGGCGGTAGATAATGCACAACGCGAATGCATCACCCGCTTCAAAGTACCAGGTATCTGCAGCTTGCAGCGCCACTGCTGGCCGCGCCGCAAAAGGCCGCTTGGCCGCCAGCTGTCGCCGTGCGCGCTTTAGGCAGACGCGTGCGCCAAAGTCTTTGCAAGCGCGAACGAAAAATTACGACCGTCATCTACGGCGCACACGCGAACTACCTATGCCGCGCTACGGACAGAAAACGCTTATCAGGATGGCCATGCCTGACGCGCGCATGGCACCTTCCACGGGCGCGCGCGCGCGCCCCAGGAATGTTCCCCACGTGGCCCGCCAGGGCCCCGCCGAAGCCGTGGGTTTGCAAACTCAGAAAAATGAGCAATCAGCAGGGAAGCTAAACGAGGCTGCTCGAACATCTGAGCGCTGCAGAAAGGAACAGTAACCGCCTTCGCTCGCAAGCGGGGCCTCTCTATCACAACTGCGTCGATGACAGCCGAACTGGCCTCCCACTGGTCGGCCGCGTCGCGCATCGCGTGGTGTTTCAAGGGTACATGACCCGTCCCACATGCAAGCTTGCGCGTCTGCATGTGATCCGAATGAGCCTCTGGGACTCCCTGGCGCCACCCAGCCACCCGGGGCGCCCATGCCTGGCCAGCACGACTGCATTCATCGCGGGGCGAGCCGCTTTGCACGACTGGGCCTGCAGCCCCACGCCAGGCCCGTCGTCCAGATAAACTTCGGCAGGGTGTCGAAGTAACGCGCGTAAATTTAAGATCTCGCGCGCAGATGCCTCCGCGTTGTCCTGGGGCGGACAGTCACGACCATCGAACACTATGCGCAGTTGGTTGCCCTGGGCCTTCTCCCACACAGGGAAGTCCCAACCATCTTGTGAATCATCGCGGAGGTCGCGCTGCGTGAATTCAAGAATCTCAACGGTTTGTTCAGCGAGGTGCGTCACCCTATTGGGGGCGCACCATCCTGCGCTTCACAAATGGAGCCGGTCGATCACCGCAGCGTCTATAACATCGACATGCGCACGCGCGCACCGTCGTCCTGTGGGACGTCATGTGGCGTGAATCGAAGGCCGAGTACTCTCTGTAGATTGTCCGCCTAGCCCTTCCTCATAATGCCAGCACCCCGCGCCTCGCGGGCGTCTCTCAGGGCGCGCGCGCGCCTCGCCGCGCGCGTCGCGCGTCGGAGTTTCCGCGCTCGCCGAATCGCCCTGCGTCGAAGCGCGTGATCTCCACGCGCATTCCGCGGGGTCTTCGCCTGCAGTCTGCGAGCTCTGATCTGCAACGTTGCCGCGCCGAAGGCAAGGCCGAAACCCATTCGCGCCATTGCCGCCCCAAGACGCGCGGCGACCGCCCAGGTTGACCCGCGCGCCTCAGCGACGCACGTATCATTGGCGCACAATGCGCAACCGCAGGAACGCCTTCCGTCGCCGAGCCGACGGGCCGCCAAAGGTGGACCCCGACGTATTTTTCTGAACATTGCGCCCCCACGACCCGCCGCCATGTTCAGCGCGCTGTGCCCCGCGACATCAGGGGCGAACCAGGCGCTGTCGTCGCGTGCCCCTAGCCCGAGGAGAGGACATCTCAAGTTCAGCGATGCCTTGTTTGCTCGTTGCATCAATCAACCCGCCGGGGGGAGATGCGTCGCGCCCGAGGATCAGCGCCCGCGATTTTCTTTATTCTTTGCTTTGCGGGCGTCGGGGCGCAGCGCGAGCGACGAGGTCGCGCGCAGCGGCGCTTTCCCATATCATCCGCGCAACCAGTTGTTTCGGTCGGTTCGGCCACTTCCCATTCCTGGAGACCGCGGAGGAGTGGGCGATGCTCAGTGCGGCGCGCGACATTAGAGAGGTCTCGATTCGCAACGTGCAGCTTTTGTCGCGAGACGCTCTGGGGCAAATTATTCGCGCCTTCTTTTCTGTTGCGAAAAATGTCGCTTCGGCCGACCTGGGCGGCGCCGCCTCGGTGCAGGAGCTCCTGGGGGGCAACCTTCGCAGCGCGCGATTCGTCGGCAGACAGGCGCCGCCGCTTCGGCGCCATGGGCCGCGACTGCCGAACGGCCGAGGCGGGCGCGCCTCCTTGAGCCGAAACGGGTTTTGGACCTGGTCGGGTAGCGCGCTGCGCTGAACATGGCGCCCGGCGCTGAACGTAGCGTTTGGCGCTGAATACAATGTATTGTGCTGAACGATTATGAGTAACGTGGGGGCGGCGGCGATGGCAAGGGCGACGATGGTGAGTATCGCG